GGTTTCCTCCATCACTGAAGCAAGCAAGCCTCATGTTCACTTCAAGCTGCCTGGCTGCCGGCCGCCATCTTGGCTGGCAGTAATTTGCATATCACCCTGATTAGCCAATGGGAAGGGTAGCGGACGTACGCTAATTACCATGTTTCTCTTTTATTAGATAGGATATCAATATAATACAGTATATAATACCATATGTACAAATGAAAAACACATTTTAATGTAACTCAAATTCCATTAAAATGAACTGGGAGCAATAGACAAAATATTTTGATAGGAGAATTCAGTCACCATCAGCAATGATTACCCTAAATAAGCCATCACCTTTTACCTATTGGTTCTTTTTGATATACAGAAGTATTTAGTATGAAAAACACCTTAAAAATGAAATGATCTGTTCTGTGGCCTATTTAATAAGGTAAAGGTGCTTCAAATGAGTAAAGGTGCTTCACTAAAATTCCTTATTAAATAATAACATTATTATATATCACATTATTTTATCTAATTGATGCTATATGCTTATAAAATATTCCCTATTTCTTCGACACCGAAGATATCACGAAAATGTGTTACTTAACCCCACCTATGAACCATGTGTTATATTAAGAAAACCAAATATTTTCAAATTCACTTACTCTTAGCCACTCGACCATATTCTCTTCAATTTCACTATCAGCAGAGATGTCCAATATAAGACGTCGTGTCAAATGAGCTTTGTGATATCTCATAAAAACATCTTTGTTTTGTACGTATTTGAGTACCAAGAGCTGTACAGAAAACAAGGTTACTGTCAATTCATATATAAATCTCTCTCATTTAGAACTTCCTATATCTTTCAATTGTCAAAATTCAGAAATTCATAAGCATATACAGAGAGAGGGGCCTACTAAATTGCCCATCTCTGATACACTACTTTACAAGTTAGCAAATTTGAGACAATAACCAAATAACTTTTTAATTCCTGCAAACATCAATTTTTCAAATTTTCTATAAATGTAATAAAACTTTACATAAAAAGCAATGGTTCTTCCCAATTTTCTCTTTTGCATGTCTTCTTCACTTGTTTCTGACACTAATCTTCTCTGTAGGCCTTTTTGTCTATTATTACTTCTTATTTTCCTGGGCTTATATTACATGACACTAACAACCAGGAAAAAAATAAAAATGAAAACAATAAATTGCTTATTTAACTCGCTCATCCCTAGTTACCTATTTTGGACTCACACAAAAAGAAAGAGGTGAAAAACTCCGTCTCAACAATCATTCTATCACCATCAGCACCATTCCCTTCTTCCCCCCGCCATGTTTTCACCTTTAATAGGTGCTAGAATTTAATTGCCTAAAAATAATCAATAAAGAGAAGAATTAAATGCTGTTGCCCTTTCTGGAAGCTATAGAATAAAAATTTTCAGGAAGAAAAAACATTTCCCTATAAAGATCTTGCACTATAAAATTTCATATTAGTTTCTTATAAATATACATTTTAAAAAAATTGATGCTATCACAGAAAGTCTTATAAGTAAACTACAAAATCAAAGTCTGGTCATTAAAATCTTTGAAATTAAAAAACTTTATGTACCACTTCTTTAAGCTTTGCTTCAATTTCTTCAGAAGTTAATTTTTTGCTTAATGGTGTTTTTCTTAGCAACATGTCACAGTAATTGGCAAGCAGCTCAGGGCATTTTGATTCAGGTTGAGTTTTTAATCCTACCCTAAAAAAGAAATTAAAACCAATTAATAAAAAGTAATTGATATCTGCAAATATTTCTTCTAAAGTCAATTTTTCACAAATTTCTTATGTTGAATTAAAGCAGTGATCAGGATTGGGACTTGGGTGAGCAAGAAGATACCTTGGGTGCACAATTTAAGGAGGCACACACTCTTAGGTTCTCAGAGCGGTAGACCTGCTAGGCCTTAAAATTTGATTCTCAGGGAGAGTGGAAGAGAGAGGGAAAGACAGAGAGAAACATCGATGTGAGAGAAATACATAGATTGGATGCCTCCTGCACGAGCCCTGACCGGGCAGAGGAGGATCCTGCTACCAATGCCCTTGACTGGAATCGAACAATTGATTTTTAGAGAGAGAGGAAGGGAGAAGAATTGAGAGAGAAACATTGATGAAATGAGAAACATTATCAATTGGCTGCATGCCCCCTACTGAGGATCAAGCCTGCAACCCAGGCATGTTCCCTGATCGGGAATCAAACTCATGACCTCTTGGTTCCTGGGTCAATGCTCAACTACTGAACTACACCAGCCGGGTGCCAATGATCTTTAAAAGATTTTATTTATATACTTGATAAAATACTTTTGAATTAAAATTATTTTTAAATAAATTTATCAGAATGACATTGCATAATAAAATTATGCTTCCAATGTACAATTCTGTAATACATTACCTGTATATTGCATTGTGTAAATCCATGCATATTTGTTAACATTTAAAACTTTTCATTATTAATATGTTAACATAAAACTGTTCCTTCACTCTCTGAAATGTTTCTTTCCAATGTAACCTAAATTCCAAAGTGATATGCTTGGTAGCTACTATCATCCATTTAAAAAAACTGCAAACAGACCTGGCCAGTGTGGTTCAGTTGGTTGAATGTTGTTTTGTGCACCTGAAGATCATGGGTTTGACTCCCAGTCAGGGCACATACCTAAGTTTCAGGTTTGATCCTCGGTCAGGGCATGTATGGAAGCAACCGATCAATATATCTCTCTCATATCCATGTTTCTTTCTGTTTCTCAAATAAAATGTTAAAAATAAATAAATAAATAAAATGTTTTAGCATTAAGTGTGAAATTTGTTTAAAATAGCAATTCTCAGCTAGAAATTACATCAAAATATATTTCCAATTGACCTTTAGTGCTACTTAGTACCACTCTGAAGTTACTATAATTAGCTCAGATTTATTGCTATTTCATTACATTCTGACTTTCTGATTTTTCTATAATAGTATTTAGTATTTAGGATGAATAGTATTTATTCATCCTATAAATGACAGATCAATTAAGATTTTTTGGTTATAAAAGGAGATAACTTAATACACAATTAAAAATTGAGGCAGCCCGGCCGGCGTGGCTCCATGGGTGAGCGTCGGCCTATGAACCAGGAGGCCAGGGTTCGATTCCCGGTCAGGGCACATGCCCGGGTTGTGGGCTCCATCCCCAGTGTGGGGCGTGAGGAGGCAGCCGGTCCATGATTCTCTCTCATCATGGATGTTTCTCTCTCTCTCTCCCTCTCCCCTCCTCTCTGACATCAATAAAAAAATATATTAAAAAAAAATTGAGGCAGAGTTTTTAATAATCAAATGTTGCACAAATCATAAAGTAAAAAAAAATGAAACAAAAAACAAACCTAATAAAATTAGAAAAATAGGGCACTTTGCATACTCAATAACATATATGACACTCCAAAAAATTTATGAATTTCAAACGTATGATTTAAAAAAAACTTACCCTTTCTGCTTCAAAGGTAATTCAAGTTTAAATATGGTAGCATCATTAACAACTGCTTTATATGCCTGCAAATAATAATTTAAAATAAAATATAAAGATTCTTTTTGATATTTAAAATACAGTTAGGTAAGTAGTTACAATTCCAAAAATACATAAAAATATAAATTAGTTTTATTTTTAAGGTGTATCTGGCCTGATAGAATTTTTAAAGTAAATGACTTCAGCATTCTCTTTGTTATTTTATGACTGTCATTATCTTCAAGTTCCTGGGGTCTTAATTCTGCCTGATAGCCACACCATTTTCTCTTGTCCACGAGTTATCCCGGGAAACATGTTCATATTATCTCTTTTCTCATCGAACTTCCAGTATTTCCTCCTCCATGTACACTCTTGGCTGACAATGTAGCTTCCTATTTCACTGAGAAAACTAATAATCAGAGTTCCCTCCCATTTCTCTTGCATCACCAACTTTTCCCGTCTCCACTGTTTCTGTACCTTCAGCATACACACACATTATTTTTGAAATCTTAAACATCCTCTGTTGGCTCTGTCCACCTTCAGCTATTGTCCCATTTCTCTCTTTGAAGCTAACCTCCTGGAGGAACGAACTCCCTTTCTACAATTTCTCTACTGACATTCTTATTGGAAACCATTCCAAGCACGCTTTCACACCGCTACTCTACCCATTCGTTCTGTCAGAGTCACTCACTACCTCCCTGTTGCTGAAGATAATGGGTAATCCCCATCTTATTTGACCTGTCAGGAGCATTTTAAAGGCGTAGAGCATGCCCTCTTCATGAAAGTGCTTTTCCACTTGTTTTCTAGCACACCACACTCTCCTGGTCGTTCCACCCATTTTCCTTTCATGAGGAAAGATGGTTCCTCATCTTTCTGATAACTAAATCTAGAATGCACCAGGCCAGTTTTTGGATCTCTTTTCTGTCCTGACTTACTACGTTAGTGATCATAGTAGTGTCAGTGCTTTAATACCACCTATATGCTGAAGCTCCCAAATTTATTTTTTTCAGGCCCACTCCCTCCCTTAAAATCCAGACTTGATACTGCTACATGGACGTTTAATAAGCATTTCAAAGTTAACTTGTCTAGAACTGAATTCCTAATCTCTCTGCAACCATTTCTCCCTAACATACTTCTTCCAATCTTCCCATCTCAGCAAGCATCTAATTGATCAGAACAGAAATCTGAGTGGCATCCTGGAATGATCTCTTTCTGTCACACTCCATATCTGATTCATTACCAAATCCTGCAGAATCTATTTTCATTATGTAATCAGAATTCAACCACTTCTGACTACCTGTACCCACTATTGTTCTGGGCCAAGCTTCTACCATTATTTAACTGAATTACTTAAATAGGTTCTTAACTGATATTCTTGCTTCTTCTCTTGCCCCCCTTCAGTCTATTCAGCAGCCAGGTGTTCCTGTTAAAATGTAAGTCAGGTCCTGTCATTCTGTTCAAAAGCTTTCAATGACTTTCCAAACCCTACTCAGAGTAAAAGCCATGGTCCACAGAGTCTTACATGCCCTGCATTCCTGTTACCTCTTTGACTTTATTTTCTACTATTCTCTCCCTCATTCAATCTACTCTGGCCAACTTTCTTCTATGTTCCTGGAACATGACTGCATATTCCTGCCATATAGACTTTGCTCCGGCTGGAACACTCTTCCCTCAGACAGACACATGACTCATTCTAATCAGCCTCAATCTTGATTCAAATGTCACCTCAAAGAAGCCTTTGCAGGCCATTTAATTTAATATTTCAATAATACTAAAAACCAGAAAAAACATTCTTGGGAAAATGCGGAAGAGCAAGTTTCTGGCTAAATTCTAATTCACAAGTATACCCAATGCTTACAAAAATGTACAACAACCGGAATATAATAAATATGGTTGCCCTCAACTGATGAAAAATCTGAGTTCCTAGGTTTTTAGTTTCTAATAAAATAAACTATAACATGTTATAGGCAAACTAAGTATAAAATGCATAGCCTTTCAGTTTCCCATAAACAGGATTATGCGATATTCTTTTCTGTACTTTGCTTTTATTCAGTAACCAATGTATCTTTCCAAATCTAAATAAAAAGTAAGTAATGACAGTAGTGTTATATACAGGGATATATACCTTATCTCTTGCAGTAAGAAATCGGGGATCATCTTGAAAAGCTTCTTTGACGAGTTTACTAAATCTATTAAACAGTGTAAGTAACTGCTCAACATATTTCTCAGAGTCCTAAAAATAAAACGTTTTATAGTCAAGTGAGTTTTTAAAAACAATACAAAAAAGTGAGAAAATATATACATCCTATCTAATAAAGAGGGAATATGCTAATTGACCTTCATGTCATCACAAAGATGGCAGCACCCACAGCCAATAAGGAGGGAATATGCTAAATGACTGCCACGCCCTCAAAGATGGTGGCGCCCACAGCCACAAGATGGTGGCTGTCCAGCCACCCAGGGCTGGCCCGAGGACTGTGAGAGGGATCCCAGATTGGAGAGGGTACAGGCTGGGCTGAGGCGACCTCCCCCGTGCATGGATTTCATGCACCGGGCCTCTAGCAATTTTAATAAAGCACGATAGCCTTAAAATTTGGGAAATTTTCTGGAAAAAAATTTCATTAAAATAAATGGGTTCCAACATCACTGGTTTCCAATCAATTACTATTTTAAATACCCAAATCTCCATTAAAAAAATAAACTTGATATACATCAGTCATTGCCATTGAGGAAAACTTACAGTAGTAATAGTTTCAGCAGCTGCTACCATATCTGCAAGGCCAGCACTAATGATATGTTCCTCCAAGTCTTTCAACATTGGCTCTATCCCATTAGGAACTTTGTCCATCAATGAAAACATTAAGTGTAATTCTGAAAGGATAGAACACACACGTAATCATTGCAACCATCAGAATAATTTTCTCTTTGATTTTATGATGGGTGTAGAAGAGCCGCATGTGGCTCGCGAGCCTTAGTTTGCCGACCACTGGTGTAGAACACCTATGACAGTAAGAGTTTGGAGAAATATTAGTTTGAAGTTGGTAATATTGTGGGTACAATTAGTTCAGGAGTTGTTATAGTAAAGTACTATAAATTCCTCATCCACCTTGTCAGTCTGACAAAAAGTTATTAAAAAAAAAACTAATGAAAAATGAGCACATACTATAAAACCCAACTCTTTTAAAAAGTGGGTCATTTGACTGTCAATGCATGGAATATTTTATTCTAAGTACAACAGTTTATACAGAACAGTAGCACATTTTATGAAGTAGATATAATATTAAATACACTACCATATCACTAAAGGGTAAAAAAATCATCTCATCAGATTGTTCAGAGTAATGATTATAAAATAAAAGTTTATTAGTGATAATATACAGCTGTATTCATAAAGATTTTTTCAGTGTTCAAAAGCATTTTCTCATGTTATACCATTTAACTGACCTTCACAAAAATCTTACTTCACAGATTGCTTACTACTAAATAAATCCTTTTAGAGGGAGTCCAAAATGGATCAGATATAACTCTACTTAGTCTGGCATACAGAAATTCAAATATTTCATTTCAGCCATTGAGCAGCTTGCTTTTATTACTTCTATAAAGTGTATGAACTTAAGTGAATTGAAAGACATACTTTAATGCAACTAGAGATTAAATGGGACCTTGCAATTATACATACTAAAATCTGTAGAGGAATACATCAAAATGTCAAAAGTGGTTCTCTGGGTAGTAGGGAATATGGATCATTTATACTGTATTCTTTTTGGTTGTAATGTACTTGCCACTCAAATACATCTTTATTAAGAAAACATTTAAGTAATTAAAAAATACTTCTGAAATCTTAAATTGTAAAATTTTTTGGGAGAGGGATGAATATTAATTAACACAGAGTGTTTTATTACTTTCTAAAAATATTTGCTGCAAGGTTCCACACACAAGTCAGATACCTAGTTCTATCCTGTACCATGTTTACTATTTAAATTAGCCTTTAAAAACAGAGTCCTGCCCTGGCTGGTTTGACTTAGCGGTTAGAGTGTTGGCCCTGGGACTGTAGGGTTGCAGGTTTGATTCCTAGCTAAAGGCACGTACCTCAGTTGCAGGCTCATCCAAGGTCCCTGTTGGGGCACATGTGGGAGGCAACCATTCAATGTGTCCCTCTTATATCGATGTTACCTTCTTTTTCTCTCTCCCAGCTCTTCCTCCCTTCCACTCTCTCTAAAAAAATCAATGGGAAAAATATCCTCGGGTAAGGATTAACACACACACACACACACACACACACCCATATGTCGAAGAATAAATACACACATGTGCATTTGTGCATGTACTGACACCTAAGGGGGGGAAATGCTTAACATACAAGTGTATAATCTTCTTCACAGTGCTTCTAACTGTGCTAAATATTTTATCATTTTCTTTAAGCACAGTTTACTTCAACAAATATACTTATGTATAAAAGAGTGATTTAAGAGCAATTTATTAAAAGTGATCTGTCTCAAAGATATCCTCTTAAAAAATAATGAGAACTTTAAGTGATATTTTACCTACTTTCAGTTTCATTTCGCTTGATCATGCCTTGGCACTCTGCTAAGATAGTTTCTTTAAAGGACGTCACCAGGGCATTTACACAGCATTCCATGAGCTGAAATATATCAAAAATTGGTCAAGTCTATTATAAGCACAAATTTATTCCATTTTATTTTGCTTTATAGACCCATTAAACTATATTTTTCAACAACAGCAAAAAATTAAGTATACTAAAAGTAGATTTTACTTACCTTTATTACAGGAATGTAGAAGATGGATAATCTACACTAGTTTACCAGAGTATGCTTCCCCTAAGGAAAAGGCTATTGAATTTGGGTTCTCTCTGGAAATTTTAACAAAACTCCCCAAAGGAGGGGTGGGAAAAAATGACACACACACACAAAACAAAATGAAAATATAACTTTAATGAACTCATCTGGAGAGTCTGTGTTGGAATTAGATTCTAAAATTCTAAAAGTACTCATAGATTCATTCGATAAACCATCATTGGATGCCTACTATGTATGGGTACCAAAGAAATGTTTAGGAAATTAAGAAGAGTGAGATATAATTAACGCTTTGGCCACACACACACACACACACACACACACAGAGAACACACGCAATAAAAGGAACTATATTCTTCTTTCATCCATAGATGAAATTTAAATTGGATCTTGAAAATAAGTATCAGTGCTAAAAGGACTGAATATTTTATAGGAATAATAAGCTGAATGTTGCAGAGAAGAGACAGACAGTGGATGAGAAAGCTAGAAAGGTAGGCTGGAGCAAGAACATGAATGAAAAAATCTATGGTTTGGGATTTTATTCTATAGGTAGGGAAAAAAGAATAGAAGATTTTCAACAGAGGACACAGGTAATGAGCTTCTACTTCCCCCAAGTCATTTTTAAAAGATCAGTCAAGCCCTAAGCCAGTGGTCGGCAAACTGCGGCTTGCGAGCCACATGCGGCTCTTTGGCCCCTTGAGTGTGGCTCTTCCACAAAAAAAAAATGGGCGCACACGTACAGTGCGATCGAAACTTCCTCTCTGTAAAAAAAATCAATAAAATATATTAAAAAAAAAAAAAAGGATCAGTCAAATGGCAGCAAGGTAGATGGTCCTGAGTGAGTAGTAGGGAGGCTGGCATATGAGGCTGTTGAAATATTTGAAGTAAGACGGCCAGGGCTTAGAGTTCTATGTAACCCTCAGGAAAATTCACTCTACCCCATCACTGCTCACTTGCATCATATAATTATTTACTCTTCTTGCAAGTATCAAATAAAATGAGTGGATTGTGAGTACTAAAGCAAGGTATACTAACGCTGATACACCTCTTCTGAAAAGCAGATCATCTATCTGTATTAAGAAAGGAAATTATGTGTGCCTTAAAAATTCTTTGTTAAAATTCCCTTCTGGAATTAACATAATGTTGATACTTACTGAAGTTGAATTTAGAATTTAGGTCAGTGATGGCTAAGCTATGACACGCATGTCAGAGGTGACACGCGAACTCATTTTTTGGTTGATTTTTCTTTGTTAAATGGCATTTAAATATACAAAATAAATATCAAAAATATAAGTCTTTGTTTTATTATGGTTGCAAATATCAAAAAATTTCTATATGTGACATGGCACCAGAGTTAAGTTAGGGTTTTTCAAAATGCTGACACGCTGAGCTCAAAAGGTTTGCCATCACTGGTCTAGAAAC